TATAATTATATAATTTATATTTATTGTGAATTATTATTAGTTGGTATTAGCAATAATTATTATATAATATAATAGAAACATACATGATTACACTCATTAAGATGTACTAATGTAAGAAGTAAAAAATATTAATGACAAATTTTGTAACCGAAAATGGAGGGAAAATTTTAAAAGTTTTATTAAATGTTTTATTAAATGCTACATGCCAGCAATTATATATATATAGATTAGTGTTATAAATATATTAATATGTACATTACTAATATATAATTGGGTCTGAAGTCCATTATTTAGGAAAATTAGGTTTTAGGGTTTCTCTATTGTAAACTCTATAAAAGGGTGATTATACCGATGAATAAGATTACACACTTTTCTGCTACTCTTTTCTTGTTCTTTTACTGCACCTCTTTTACGCTTGGATTGATGGATGCTTGGTGAATATTGAGGACTCCAATTTACAACACGTTATCAGCACGCTCTTGTTCGTTATTGGTGTTTGCCCTAGGAAAAAATCGTGTTTTTCCTGCAAGGTATTTTCGAGATCTGTTTCCTTAATTCATAAGAATTTCATGTTCAATAAATTGCTTCAATGCTCTGTTTGATATGCATGGCGTATTTGATTAAATTGGATTGATATGGATCAAAATCTGCTAATTGTATTTTAGTTTAATCTTTAATTAAAATTGTTTTAATGATCGATTAAATCAACAATTATTTGTTGGGATGCTGCTTAATGTTCGAGCCTTCAAAATCTGGGATTGTAAAAGTCGAAATACTTCAGTATATGTATGTACCGAAATTGTATTATTACTGAACTGTTTGTTGGTGATATTGTCTAATTGTTTAAATGCGTGGGATTGCTAGCGGCATCTTTTACTCTGACGTAGGTTCTGTATATTGGAAATATTGAATGTATCTGATAAAGGTTGCGTGAAATAAGGCATAAATCATGGGTAGTATATTCAAGAATAATAATAATTAAGCATCATGAAGAAGGACAACCTTTTACCAGCACAAATGGTGCCATGGAACCATCAGATAAATCTAGCTCCAGCAGCTCTATTCCGTTTAATGAAGATTAAGCAAAAATTAATTTGGAACTAATTTTGTGTTTGTGAAATTCTGGGAATTGGTGCAATAGTTTGGGAATTAGAATCTGCTAATGCATATTTTAGTTCAATTGCAATTAAATTATTTTAATGTTGATTAAACTAATAATTAAGATTTGGGTGCTGCTTGAACACTTTTCGAACTGAACCTGCAAATTTGGGATTTGCCGAATTGAACACAAAATCTGGGATTTTGAAATCAATTTTTTTTTTGTGATAATATAATTTTTTTTTTCTTTTGATAAAATTGTAGAATTTGACAATGACTGATATCACCAAAAGAAAATTTGCTGAGCTCGCCCTTGATGGGAGTAATTATTTAACTTGGGCCCTTGATGTTGAGATTCACCTGGCCTCGTTCGACTTAAGTGGTACAACTGCTTCTACATCTCAAAGCACTCCTGCCCAGAAGGCAAAGGCATTGATTTTTCTCCGCCACCATCTCAATAAAGATCTGAAAAATGAATATCTCACCGAAAAGAACCCGCCAATCTTTGGAAATCCCTGAAGGATCGCTTTGACCAACAAACGGCCATAATTCTCCCTCAAGCTCAGTATGACTGGCTTAATATTCGGTTTCAGGACTTTAAATCAGTCACTGAATATAATTCGGCCCTACATCGTATTGTTTCACAGCTGAAACTCTGTAAGCAGAACATTTCAGAGGCCGAATTACTTGAAAAGACTTTATCAACTTTTAATGCTAGTAACCTTGTACTCCAGCAGCAGCATAGGGCTAAAAACTATGCAACTTACTTTGAGCTGATATCGGCCTTGCTTGTGGCCGAAAAGCACAATCAATTGTTGATGAAAAATCATAATGCTAGGCCTGTTGGAACTCAAGCTGTGCCTGAAGCACATGCGACTACTCACGGGCATCATAATGTGCGAGGGAGAGGTCGAGAATACCATACCCAACCACCCCGTGGTGGGCGTGGTCGAAGTCGTGGTCGTGGACGCAGTCGTGGCCGTGTTTGGACTCGAGATGGTGGGCGAGGTCATGGTGATAACATCCCGGGAGGCCGTAGCGAGAACTTGAACATTGAGGTGGATCGTTCAAATCGACGCGATCCACATCCACAACCTAAAGAGCAGAAGCATGTTTGCTTTAGATGTGGATGCGATAATCATTGGTCCCGCACATGTCGTACTCCTCGGCATCTAGTTGAGGCCTATCAAAGAATTCTCAAGGATAAGAAAGGAAAGGCTCCTCAAGGTGAATCACATCATGCTAGTTTGCCTGAAGAAAATTTAGCTTTCAATGATGATGATGATGATTTATTGAAGCTTGAGCTCGAGGACTATGGTTGATATAGCCACACTGGCTCATAACGGTTCGTATCATCACGGTTTGAAACTATC